GAGAGGAGATATGTAAGAAGAGGTATCCCCAACAATGGGAATGATTCAAGCAAAGGCAAAAGGGTAGGCAGTTCAAACTGGGGCCTAAGCAGTTGGAGGCCTGGATTGACTGCTGGGAAGTTGCCTTTATATATGGGGACAGGAGCAGGACGTGCTCATTTCAGATGACCAAAGTGCCAGGATGGGATTGCTTTTTGGTGAGGACAAGATGAAGGACTTATAAACATCTCAGTTCACATGTGTTATTTAGATTTTTTTTTGGTTGCTTTGATTCAACAGATGTTTACTGAGCATTTAACCATATGCCACACTCTGTGCTTGGCACTGAGATAGACAGTCTCAGACTGGCTTGAGTGGACGTGTACAAGACTGTGTTGCACATGTGTGTGTGAGGAAGAGACAGAAACAGAGACACCAGGCACTATTGTAAAGAATCACACAGGTAAAGAAGAGATGCCCAAACTTTCCATAATCAAAAAAATACAAAGAGTAATGAAATATCCTTTTAGGCTTATCAGGCTGCAAAAATTAGAAAGCTGGGTATTGACAAGTGTTTGCCAGGATGCGAGAATCCAGGAATCTTCAAACAGTCCCCAGGTAGCCTCTGAAAGGCAACTTGATAATACTTGAATTTGTTATACACACATCTCATACCTGGCAAGGTCACTCCTAAAGGAGCCCTAAGGGGATGCACCTGAGGATGATCCTGACAGCACAGTGAGGGTGGTTGGTGTGTCCACCACCAGGGAGAGTGGGAACAGTGGCATAGAGGGCCATTCAGCAGTTAGAGCCATGGACCCAGTCTGCACAGAGTGACAGGATGGTTCTCAGAGGCAGGTGCAAGAGCGATGAGGCAGGACAACACACGCGACAATGAACACAGAGTTATCTGTGGAAAGGAGAACTAAGTGACAGCAATCCGCATTTTACAGGAATGCATACCAACAAAATGGCTCACATTAAGCATCCTGAGATGGTTGCCTGTGGGTGTAGGTCAAAGAGAATAGGGATAAAAGGAAGGAGAGAAAGAGAAAGGAAGGAAGTTTATTAAATGAATGTTTTTTTTATATCAAGAATAGGACCTTGCAATGATATTATGGAAAGAGATAAAAAGATACAGGGAGCAAGGAGATGCAATCATCAGAAGTCCAAGGGGGATTCTACTAAGGCCCGGCCTCAGGGACCAGAGGGCTGCCTTCTTTAGCCTACTCCCCTCTGTGGCAGTCTGCTCCTCCTCCCACCTGATAGATTGTACCAGCTCCATACTGGTCTCTGCTACCCTCTCCTGACTTCGCCACCCTCAGGAATCCCACTTTTTCTCTCTTCACTCCTCATCACACAACTCGTTCTCCTGGCCTCCTTCTCTGCCTCCCCATGAGCTTCTGCCATCCCCCTGCCTCCCTCTGCCCAATTCTGCTCATTATCTGATTCTAGTCCTAGGTAGTTAGAGTCTGATTAGTCCAGTGTAGGTTACCCCAATTAGCTAGGACCCAGGTTGAGTGGCTATAAAGATGGTGGTTTGGGCTCTCACCTTAGGGGCAAGAGCTGTAGAAGGGACAGATTCCCATAGAAGGGGCCATGTGTGAGGCAGACACCTTGATGGACACATCAGAATTTAGATCATTACTAACAATGAAAGCACAGAGGATCACACCCTCAAGGAGCAGATGAGTAGTGGAGAGGGCTCCAGAGAGGGTCTTACCAGCCCCTCATTTCACACATCAGGATGCTAAACCTCCAAATCATGATAGACAGAGATGTAAGTAGTTAGCCTGAATCTGCTAAGGTCTTCAGTTACCACTGAAAGGGAACACCACTTAGCATGACTGCAGCCCTTGCTGAGTTCAATCCTGGGCCCTAAGAGATGACAGCTATACCACAGCTTATCTGTCTTCCTGGAAGTCACAATCTAAATAGCCCAGGATCTCTTTCTTTTTTCTTTGCACATTTTCTTTTGAGACAACTTGTAAAAAACTTATATTGGGGCGACCAGCAGGTGGCAGGGTGGTTAAAGTGGTAGACTCCCACATGGCCAACTGTGGTTCAATCTCAGGACCTGGCAGCTTGAAAATCACACTGGGCACATGTGCGTGTGTGCCTGAAATTCCAGGAGGAGGATAAAGAAGGAGTTGTGGTATGGCCATCCCCCCTGGAGGGTGATTTCTTACTTTCCCTCCCACTGGCTCTCTTTCTCTCTCCAGCAAGCACACACAACCTATGGTTAAAACCTTAAAAATAAATAAATAAATAAAACTAACATGGTTGTTAATTTCTAGTGTCAGAAAGAGTTGTTCATTAGGATTTGAGAGTGAGGCCCGGATAACAGCCTCAATTGTTGAGCCAGTCCACGTATTTGAGGAGGTTAATTCTCTTCTAAGCTACTTAGACAAATACTGCCATTATCTTTCCAGTATGGAGTCAGCCCATATCATGCAAGGGCCTCACGGTTCCCTTACGTAAGAGGGGGTAATGTGGCCATTCACTGGGAGAATTAGAAAGCTCAGAGATGAACTGCTGACTTTGACCCCATTTTGTTAACAGCTGACCTAAAGCAATCATTCAGCTTGAAAAGAAATGGGAAAGTGTACCCAGAATCCACAACACCTAAAGAAAACTAGTGGTGGATAAAATGTTTCAGGCTATTAAAGTCATTTAAAAGCTTTCTCATCCACCTTCCAACCTGAGGAAGGAAGTTATAAAAGGAGGAGTGAATCAACTAGAATTATAGCATTTCAGAGCTGGTAGGGGTTCCATCAGCATCAAACCCTACCTTCTAAGGAACTGAAGCTCAGAGAGGTGAAATGACTGCCCAAGGTTACACAGTGTTTGAGGCCAAGTTGGGGCAAGAACTATTCTCCTTAGTCATGTACTTATCCATCGTTCCTGGATACTGTTGGTCCTATAGACAAACACTTGTCTTTTTGTTTCCCTTGGCACTCAGTGTCTGGCCCATGGGAAGCACAGCACAGTATAGAACCCATCTGTGCATATGGAGAAGGTCTTCTTCCCCTCAAACAGTGTAGGCAGCAGCTGAGGGATCATGTGGCCTCCAGACTTTCAATTACGCTTGTGTCTGGGGAATCTGGAAATGAATCAGGCAAGTCAGTTAAATAGGAGCTAGAAAACCATGTTTGGGATTTTTGTCCCCAGAGGTCATACAATAGGACACCAAAGGACTACAGCTGATAGGCTGCATGTCACCTGTGAGAGAATATCTACAGGTAAAAATGGCACTTCCAGCTCTGCTTTAGACACCTGGATTCCTCTCTCTCATATCATTGCCGGACAGATAAACATTCTCCCACAATGAGGCTGAAGCAGAAAGACAAGGACAAGGCTCTCTCAGAGTTCCGAGGCTCAGGTGACAAGGAATAGTGACAGCTGTGGCAACACAGCTTTCTTTCTCCTACCTTTATTTTCTATTTCCTGTCAGCAAAAAGAACTAAGAATAGTCACTGTGTTCCTGGAACATCAGCAGGATCCAGGAGCTTGTTTGTGAAGCAGAGGGATAGCTCTTTGTCAAAACATCCAGCTCTTGGAGGGACAGGCTTTGTGGGCATTGCAGATAGAGAAGGCTCCAGAAGACACTCAAGGAGTTGCTGGCCCTGGATGGGAGTGAGTCTTTCTCTTGCATGGGGACTGCAGAATGGTATAGGTGTAAGTCATCAAAAAAGGCACCTACATATGGAGTGAGAGTCTGTAAGACAGTGAGAAGAGGGGAAAGAACCCCGGCTGCTGTTCTGGAATGGTTTTGGCCACCCTGTTTGAAGCCAGGGAGGGCCCCTATGTGTACCACCAGGACAGAGCATTACAGTGAACAAGAAGCTGCGCTGGTGGGGGAAATGTCCAGTACTCTCAGCAGAGTCATCTTTTTTTTTTTTAAGTTTTTTTCTTTCTTTTTTTGGAGAGGTTTTTGCTATAGGGCACGTGCATTCTCCAGAAAGACAGAGAGAGACAGAGAGACAGAAAGCAAGAAATCACCCCCCAGGGGGGATGGCCACGCTGCAATACCTTCTCCTCTCAGGATCTTGGGTACACACGCACACACACCCGACGTGAGTTTAAGCCACCGAGTCCGGGACTCAAACTGCAGTCAACTACATGGGAGGTCAGTGACATAGCCATTACACTAACTGCTGTTCCCAAATTTATTTATTTTATGCATGTTAGAGAGCACATATGCATATGAGAGAGAGAAGGACCCTCAACCAAGGGATTCAAGACCCAGGACTACCATGTGGTTTCAACTCCACAGTTCAGTTTAGCAACAACCTCAGCAGAGCCTTCTCGATAGTGGAACAGGAGTCAGAGTACATGTGGGACAGTGAACAAGGCAAGCATCCAGACCCAGCTGGGCACCATCATGATCAAAGAGAGGTTCTGCAGTTGACTAAGCAAACATTCCAGAGGTAAGAGCCTGGAACCAGACAAAATTTGTCACAGAGAGGGAGAGACAGAATGATAAGATTTAGAACCATGTAGAAGATGGTAGGATTAGAACATATTTTAAAACAAGTTGAGATCAATCTTTCACATGGTGGTGCCTTTAGGATTGCCTTTGTTTTGTGTATCCTTAGCTTCCTTTACTAACAGGCTTTCTAAATCATCCATGCTATGTGTACCTGAGACAGTGTCCTGATCACAGTGGCTACCTGAGATGTGTTTGCAGAAGTGAATTTACTGGAATTCTGGGTGATTCCCCAGGAGGAGAGAATGAGAGAGGTAGACATGGAGTGAGAAAAGAATAGTCTGTGGAACCCATAGAGCTGAGTCAGTCAACCCTGCTATTTCTAGATGAAAGGCCAAGACAGGGAGCAGAAGGGCCTTGTCCAAGGTCAAAGGCTCTATTAGAGGCAGAAGCAGGGATAGACCAAAAGCCCTTTACTCCCTTGTGATTTTTTTTTTCTTTTTCCTTTTTCAATTGCTAGGGAGTATGTATACAAGAGAGAGTGATAGTGAGAGAGAACACCCCAATGAAACATAATCACATGGCAATACTTTCTCCTCTATTTCTTTTTCATGTCAAGATTCTGGGCATGGGGACCAGCAGTTGGCGTAATGGCTATGTTGCTGGACTCCCATGTAGTTGACCGTGATTCAAGTCCTGGACCCGGTGGCTTAAACTCTATTTATTTATTTTTCTTTATTAATGACAGTGCATGTGGGCATGCATGTGAGAGAGAAGAGAGGGAGAATCCTCCATGGGATCTGGTCACTCCACAATTCCCTCCCTCCACTCTTCTTGCCAATCAGATCTGACATGTCTTGGGCTGACCTGGCCAGAGACTTGAACTGTGGTGACCACACGGGATCTGGCTTATCTTGAGCAGTGCCTTACCACTGTGCCATGGAGCCAGCCGCACCATTCAATTTTGCTGCGGCGCTGTGAAGACTTCCCCCAGTGCCTACATTCCTGTGAAGGGCTTTGCCTCTGCTTGAGATAAGAATGCTCAGGTCTCTCATGAGAAGCCTGAGAGGCAGAGGCAGAGGTGAGGCTGGCTTCCCCTGGGCCGCCA